AACACCCCAAATCACACTCGTCTTCTTCTTTGTAGCCATTCTCTTGTCTTGTTTCATTATCTCATCTTTAAAGTTAGAATATTTATCTTTTTGGGTACGATGAGAAGTTCAGTTCTGTGAGCAAAATCTGTGTGTTTTTTTAACCTAACTAGAACTGTTCTGTTCTTTTTGGGTCATTTCTTTTCGACCCTTTTGACAGCTCTTTTCAACTCGAAGAGAAAGAGGGCATATACAGCTCAAAGGGGTGAAGAGAGAAACATGAAGAAAGGGGCATTAGCGCCTAATCTGAAGCTATCTCTGCCTCCTCCGGAAGAGATCTCCAATTTCCTGTACTTAATTTTCCCCCTAATTTGATTTACATTTCGTGTGGAGCAAATTTCGTGTCGTTTTTTAGGTTGTTGCTCATGAGGGTTTTTGTTTTTGTGCTCATTTGTGATTTGGGTTTTCGATATCGGGTGTGTGCAGGACCGGGTCAGGCACGTTCAAGGATGGTGATCTCTTGGTTAATCGGGATGGTGTCCGGATTGTGTCCCAGGGTGAAGTTGAAACTGTAAGAGTATTATTTTGGTTGATTGCTTTAGATTTCTGTTCTTGGGTCTTGTGAATTTGGCTGCAGTTCATGGTTTTTGCATTGGGAATTGATTTTGTTCCCCTGTTAATGAATGTGTTCCAGTATGTAATTCTGATATGTGATACTTTTAGATTGGTGGGTTGAATTTAGCTGAGGTTTACATGTTGTTGATATGTTCATAACCTTCCAAAAGTGTCGTGTTTAATAGCAAAAGGTGAAGTAGGCAAGATTCCTCCTCTCTCTCTCTAAATTTTGTGCTCCACGTTTAGAATAAGTACATTCAGTTTTAAAGACGAATATGCCACAGTTATACGGGACATTCAGTTTTAAGGACGAATATGACCGTATAAACGAGCAGGTTAAGTCTTACTGCGTGAAAATAAGATTTATATATTCATGGAGATGTAGTGTGCATTTGGTTCTCATGCGTGTAATGTGTTTCAGCCAGCTTTGATACAACCATCAGATAACCAGTTGAGCTTAGCTGACTTCGATGCAGTTCAAGTTATTGGGAAGGGAAATGGGGGTGTCGTGCGCTTGGTGCAACATAAATGGACAGGACAATTTTTCGCTCTTAAGGTATGGGCATTCTTTCCTCCTTTGCCTCCATTTACCTCTGACAGTGACATTGACTTTTCGTAATTGATTGGGGTTTGCCAAGCATTTTTAAAAGTTTTGTCTAATCTTTGTTTACTAATTCTACATGTTTTTTTCACTCTCTTATTCTCAAATGCACTTTTATTATCTCAAATCCCAGAAGGAAGTTAGAATATTAGAGTGTGACTGATGAAAACCATAGTCATTTATCTTCTGAACTTAATTGCAGGTTATTCAAATGAATATTGAAGAGTCTGCTCGCAAGCATATTGCACAAGAACTGAAAATCAATCAGTCGTCTCAATGCCCCTATGTTGTGGTTTGCTATCAGTCATTTTATGATAATGGTGCAATCTCGATAATATTCGAGTATATGGATGGCGGTTCTCTTGCCGATTTCCTAAAAAAAGTTCATTTGATTCCAGAGCCGTATCTTGCTGCAATTTTTAAGCAGGTGATGATGATACATGCATGCATCTTTTTCTCCATGTTCTCTCGATGAAATTTTCTCTCAACTCTCTATCGTTTTTATAGGTGCTCAAAGGTTTGTGGTATCTTCATCATGAGAAACATATTATCCACAGGGACTTGAAACCTTCGAATTTGCTAGTAAACCACAGGGGTGAAGTCAAGATCACCGATTTTGGTGTCAGTGCAATACTGGCCAACACGTCTGGTCTTGCTAATACCTTTGTTGGCACGTACAATTACATGTCTGTGAGTACCATTATTATTATTATTATTATTATTATTATTATTATTATTATTATTATTATTATTATTATTATTATTATTATTATTATTATTATTTCCCGAAAACTAATATTCTTGAACAAACACATACTTTATTTCTGCCTTAGAAAGAGTTGTATTCATAACTTTTTGTAAATTTTTCTTGTTTGTAGCCCGAAAGAATTATTGGGGGAAAATATGGTTTCAGCAGTGATATCTGGAGCCTTGGTTTGGTTCTCCTCGAGTGCGCAACAGGAAATTTCCCGTATTCCTCACCACAGCCAGGTGGTTGGGTCAATGTCTATGAGCTGATGGAGACCATTGTTGACCAACCAGCACCTTGTGCACCTCCAGATCGGTTTTCTCCCGAGTTCTGTTCGTTTATTTCTGCTTGGTAGTACACTGACTCTAAGCCGGTTTGCTTGTGCAGTCCCTTTTAGTTAATCATGCCAAAATGATAACAATTTAGGGTAGTTTTAGTTCCAAACTATGAAGAAATTATGTCCAAGTGTAACCAGGTCTGATATTTGTGGACATACTTGAAAATTTTTGCTCTACTTTTTAGCTTGATTTCCTGGTTTCGCATGTGATTGATCTTGTATGCATTTTTCGACTTTTCCAGTGTGCAAAAGGATCCAAAAGACAGATTGTCCGCAAACGAACTTATGGTACTTGCAATATTTCAAATTTAAATTTAAGTTCAGATCATGGATCACCTGTCGACTAATATTTTTAATTATTCAGGCACACCCTTTCATCACAAAGTACAATGATGTTGATCTTGCATTGTACTTCACTGGTGCAGGACCTTCGTTGACTGCCCTTTAATCAAGGTTATTATTATACACATAGCTTCACATCATGGTTTAAAATGTTAATCTTACATTTACCTTGAAAAATTTGTGAATATGACAAAATCTCAAATGTAGAATCTTGAGCAAATTTAAAACGTATTCTAGTTGTTTCTGTTCATATCTGCAGGTTGTGAGAATTCTTCTTACCTGCTAAGGCAACATATTACTGCTGTCAATAGGTAGCCCAGGCCAGTTTTCAAGAAGATTTTTTAGTACACTCTTTGCATTTTGCACGGCTCGAAAAGTGTCTCCTTTTTTGTGCATCACAAGCTGCTTGCACTTAGCTTGGAGATTCTACTATTTGACAATTTGGCTCGAAAAAGGAATTTCTATTTTCGGCTCTTTCGTCTTCTAGTATCTGGAATGATATATATATGTATCCAGGCTCTGTGTCTTGTTTTACAAGTGTTGTTTGTTTATGAACATTATAGTTTGGTTTTGCAAGGTTTTAGTGGAGCTTATGTATGCGGTTCACTTGAATATACGAGTGTCTAATCATTCGATGGCCATGTTTTTTGCTAACGAATATGCATATTTTATACTTTAAGTATCATAATCTAAAAACAACATAATTAAAAGGTTCACATTGGTAACACAAACATGCAACTTTGATCGACATTGACGGGTACACAAATATGCAATTTTGATCGACATTGACGGTACATATATGAAATCTTATTCGAAAAAGTATCACAAGTCGATTCATCTCATAGCAAAACTTGCCTGATTCATCTATAAGAAAAAGTATGACAAGTCGATTCATCTCATACCAAAACATGCATGTTTCATCTATAAGACAGCCTCACAACAAAATATGCCGTATAGGGTTCAATTTTTTTCAGTTTCTTCAGTTATTTCGACCATCCTTTTTTTTTTTTTTTGTGTGTGTGTAGAACAAACTCAAGCATGAGAAAACGAATTACAATGGCTAAGAGATACAATTAGAGCTTAATCAACAAATTGGTTCACAATTACAAACCACCATTTTTTTCCAGTTAACAACATGATCCCTTATTTTAGGGATGCCAAAGATACTAATAAAAGGCATCTCTTTCACTGCATTAGCTGCAAACCCTCTGTTAATTCACCCTCCAAATGAAAATAATAATAAAAAAAAAAAAAAAATTAGATACACGAGGAAAACCGAGTAACACACAAAAAGTTTTCGCACATCTTGCAACTTGTTCACATCTTCCTTTTGAATTTCCTTCGCGCTTTCAAATCAACCACGATGACCGAGATATTGTCTCGACTCCCCCTTTGTAAAGCAACACGAGAGAGGTAATCAGCTGCATCGTGGGCTGCAGGATCAACATCGTGCCCTCGTTCTTTCGGGAGCGTGGGCCCGTTCTTCTTGTGCCAGAGTAAAATCCGCTTTCGGGCCAGATCACAAGCCTCGTTATTGGACATTACATCCCATAGGCCATCGCTAGCTAGAATGAGGCACTCGTCTTCTTTTGTTCGAGGGACTATCATTAGTTCTGGATCAGCAATTACATAAGGCCTCAAGTATCTATCACCTGTATAAATATATGCACACATATATTTAGAGAAACAAAAAAAGCTAACTTTCGCACGTATGTAAAGCAGATTTTATCATATAAGCTAGCTTTTCAGTCATAAGTCATAAGCTATCAGCTATAAACTCGAAATTAACTTATAAGCTAGTAGCTAACTTATCAACTAGGTTTACCAAATCATAACCTATGTCCATGTATCGTATTGAGCTAGATATCATACAAATTTCGAGAAACTAAAAAATGAACTCACCAATGGATCTCGACACAGCAAGGACCCCCGAAACTCGGTGCCCGTCCCAATTAATGACTTTCCCCCCAAGACCTTCTATCCTTGCACTCTCATCTTCTCTATTTGGCTGCAAATCAGAAAAAATAGATAAGCGTCACGTCAATAACTAATAACTAAACGCAGATTACTTCATAAATTTTGACCAACTGGGGAAAAAAAAATCCAAAATCCTCACCCTATGGTCAACGGACAACGGCACGGGCACTTTTCCCCGGTTCAAAACGGCCCTAGAATCACCACAATTCGCCACAATAATATGCGAGGTGCAGACTATCGCAACCACGGCTGTGGACCCCACGGAATCCGGTGCAATTGGAGAAACCGGAGAATCGTGGTTTTTTTCCATACTGTCTCGAGTGAATCCTCCGACCTCGTCGTCCAATCTCCGGAAACAGTTACAAAATATCTCGAGCCATTGCTCATTCAACTTATGGCCACCACCAAACTCAACGGACAATTTCTCTTTGGCTACGCGAACCTCGTCGGCTAATGCTAAATGCAGATACTCCCGGCAGTAATCAGAAACCTTAACAAAACCAAATAAAAAAGAACTATCTTAAGTCGAGCCATCCGATGGCTCCATAGCAAAACTGACAAACAAAAGCAACAACAACATTCTTGTTTATTTGTTTTTTTTTTTTTTCTTTGTTTATTATCTTTACCTAGTAACCTCCATGCCCGTCATAAACACCGAAAACATGGCCCGTTAAATCTTTATTCACAGAAGTGAAAACCGGTCTTTCGCTCAACATACAAGCAGGGATGCTGAGAAATCTCGGTAGAGCCACAATTGAATCTTCCATTTCTGCCCTCCTTCCGCAAATAGAAATCGAGCCCCACAGTGGCGGAGCATTTAGAGGAAGATTATGCTTAATCATCTCATTTTCTTGCGAGGCCTCGACTAAGGAGGCTGAGAATGTTCGTTTAAGAACACACTCACGAGTTTTTCCCACAGAAAGATTATCCACTATCTCGGATGAAATTGTCGACACCCACGAATCCGATCTCTTGATGACATTACGATTAGTGATACCATTCTTATATGAAATTAGACCGGTATTCGCCTCTAAAACCGCACACTTTTCAAGTCCAAAACTTTTAGCATCATCCATTGTGTATGGAGAATCTACAATGGCAGCTAACGGGCGGCTCATGAGGCCCGCTTGATCATCATCTTCCTCGATTTTCTTGTCAAATGCATTACTAAAGATTATACAGCTACCACTTTCCTTAACACCCACAAAGAAATTATCTTCATTCACCATCTTCAGACTCATCAAATTTCGACTCTGATTTGCACAACTCCACTCAGTGGGACACTAAAGTTGGAATTTTTATTCTCAAAGGTAACGACGGGCCGCAGAGGCAGATTCGTCATGGATGGCTCGGGAAAAAGAGTTATCGAGTTCGTTAACAGCTCGACCCCAGGGCGTTCGACAAGGCTCGCGAAAGACGACGAGTCTTCAGTAATCAAATTTCACAGCTTACACGGCAGACTTATGACTAAATAAAATAAAATAAGGAGGCTTCACAGTCACAGACAGTAGCTGTAGATTTGAAAAGGTTCTCCCTTTTCACTACCCTTCACCTCCAAGTGTTCAAAAATCCCATCTTTAATCACCACGCGTCACCGCATAGATCCAATGCCCAAAGTCAAACAAAAAACAACACCTATCAGTTTCTTCTTCTTCTTTTTTTTTTTTTTCATCTCATA